GAGCAGGGAGCCTGGCGAAGGAATGGAGAGTTTGCTCCATCCCAGAGCCTTGGGATTGTGACCTGAGCTGAAGACTAGCTTAACTGACTGAGCCACCCAGGTGCCCCAAGTCATTTTCTTTTTAGATTTGAATGCTCATTTTAGGAAAGAAAGAGCAGAAATTACTTCATTTTGAAATAGAATAAAATTACATTAAGTATGGGCAGTGCTAATTACTGATTGCCATTTATCATGGGTTAGGGCCAATGTTTATTTTTCTTTATTGTGTGAATTAGCATTAAATCCTCACTTGGTGCATAAATAAATGCCCAAGTAAACCACTTTTTTTTTGTTTTGTTTTGTTTTGTTTTAAATATTTTATTTATTCATTCATGAGAGACAGAGAGAGAGAGAGAGAGAGGCAGAGACACAGGCAGAGGGAGAAGCAGGCTCCATGCAGGGAGCCCGACTCAGGACTCCATCCCAGGTCTCCAGGATCACACCCTGGGTTGAAGGCAGTGCTAAACTGCTGAGCCACCCGGGCTGCCCCCAAGTAAACCACTTTCAAGCACACCTGAATTACTTAAGAATTCCTACCAATAAAATCTTGACAAATTAATTATAAATAATTTTTAAAATCTATTTTTTTAAACAAGCCTTTGTAAGGATTTTATGAGAGAATTTTTTTTTTTTTTTTACCTAATTGATGTACTTGAAAATGTAGAAGTTTGGTAGATTAGGGAAATCTTCAGGAATAAGATTAACCTTGAGTGATCCTGACAGACTCTGGAATGCAAATGATGAGTACAGCACTTTGGTAGAAGTGAGGCTTTCTTTAGGAAAGCAGAGGAAGAGAAAAAAGGAATATAAAATAAGTTCATAGTAGGAATAAGAAGTCCATTAGTTCTTTTTAAAAAAGTGTTTCACAGGTTGATTCACAATTTTTCCTCTTAAATTGTTTTGATTTTTCCTTAGAAATAACTAGAAACAAAGACCACTAACGCTGCAAATTGGTAGTCTCTGGTATTACTTTAATTCTAATTGGCAAAGAAAGGAAATAGAGAATTAAGACAGTTTTAAATGATGCTTAGCATTTTTAGTTCCAAGTTCAATCAGCATAGTCATCAACTGACATTTACTCTGAACCCCTTGGGTGAATGGCATTGAACCAAATCCCACAAGTAATAATATCTTCTGCTTACGTGAGCAAACTGGTAGTTGAACTATTGCTCTCAGAAGCTATGGATAATAAGGGTTGATGTTGATATGTTGTGAGATTCTAGCCTTGGAGTCATGAGGTTAAGATAGGAAACCTATACACCAAAAACATTTTTTTTTTTAAAATAGAAACTGTATTTACTTTTTGTGTTATTAAAGAAGTCACTGTCCTATGCAATGAAACACTAAATGTCAAATTATTTTTTAGTATTTCACCAAATACTATTTTAGCTTAAAAGAGTTGAATTTTATTTGATTGATCATTGTATGAATAATGCAAAGTAAACTTTCATTTTGACAAGTAAAATAAGGTGGTGAGTTGATTCAGAGCATATCGAGTAGAATCTTAAGTGAATTGTGCCTTCATTGAAAACTCAAATACAAAGAAATCTTGGTGGATAAAATGTCAGAAATTTGTGACTGAAACCTATTTTCACCTGATCTTCACGGTTAATATCACATTTAATATTAAGATATTTTTCATTCTATAATATTAAAAATGTTTCTTTTAAGGATGGTCAGATTTTAAATATTTATCTTTTCCTGGTCCTCTCTCCTTTCTAATCCCTCCCCACGCCAATCTCTTTTTGCTCGGGTAGGATTCCTATTGCTGGCTACCCAGTCATTACCCTTCTAATACCATTTAAGGTAGCTCTGCTGGGTTTATTTATTTTAGTCCTTCAATCCAGTTTCTCTTTTAACCTGGCTTTCTAAACCAAGTTGACAAACCAGTTTAATTTTTCTCCTTTTTCATTTCAACAATTCGTGATTCAGATTGGTAGGAAAATATAATGTAATCCGGGCACAAGCTCTTCCCCTTGGAATCACTACTTGCGAGGCTTCCTCCTTTCCTTGGCTGAACGTGCTTAAGTCAGGCAGAGTACCTAGTGAAGGACTTCAGCCCCCACAGTTCCCTGTGTGCGCATGCCCTCTTTTCTTACAGTTGTCAAAGTGCTTTTGCCCGAGCGGTCACATAATCAACCTGAAAGAAGAAAATAAATATTGTACAATTTTTAATTTTATCGATCCTTAAAAACTGGACACTCAAAGGTAACTGCTACTATGAATTTATTACTTGAGATTGGGTGATTGCATGTAAAGGAAGATCTATTGTGTGTGTGGTTGGGGGGAGGGGAAGGAGGTATCTATTTCTCGGACTTTGCTGTAAATAAGAAAAAAGAAAAAGAGAAACACAGCCAAACAAACTATACAAGCAGTTACCGAGAGACATTGCATATTAACTTTGAAAATGTTATCTTAATCTAATGCTTTCCTTTTGTTTAAAAGGGTCTTATTTATTAAATGTGGGTCTTGACCTTGACAGAATGAATTTATGCAGAAAGTGAAATTTATATCTTTAAAGAATGTGGAGAAGAAAAATGGGTGTTCCTGTTATGATAAAAATTTTTAATTCAATAAATAGATTAATTATAGCCTTCATAAAAGATTGAGTCCAGCTTACTTTTTAGCTTTTTTTTTTTTTTGCTGTAGTATAGCATTAATTTTTCTATCAAGAGGATGTAGTTTAAACTGAAGGCATTAACAAAAAGCATCGATACAAGTATTGGAAAAACTGAGTGATATTAAAATTATTATCAAATGCATATTTCAGCCATGATGATACGGCTATTGTAAAAATAATTCTAGCCTACTGAAAGCAACTCAGATCCCAGATTCTAATGGTTTACTGCAGCACTGCTTAAACCGAGTATGAAAATGTCTTTTTCTATGATCATTTCCTTTGGCAGTGATAGAACTTTGTGCTGTTGTGAATCCAAGCTTTACTTGTCTCTTTGTGTCAGATTTTACAATACTGATCAATGTCATGGTTTTAGAAAAGGGAACTGAGGAACAAAGTCAATCTTATGTGGGTTGTATTGGTAGTAGCTGGCAATTTGTGAGGTATACTGGACTGGGTTTTGGTGGGGGAGAAAAGGGGAGGAAAGAGTAGAGTGAGGTGGCTATGAAGCATTTCCTTGAGCCCACTATTTTGTGTATGAAACTTTAAAATTGAAGATAACCGTTTTAAAGATAATCTTTAATAAAATGGCACTACTTTAATCTCATTGATCTGACATACTTTGCTTAATAGTTAAGAATGATGGCATTTCCATTTTTCAATACATTTATTTTATAACAGTTATCATGAAGATGTCCAAAGACAGCTTCTGTGTGATTCTGAATGTCCTTTCACAAATGATCTGGGAAAGATGCTTCTCCAAGTATCTGAGTTAATTAAGTAACTTCATTAAATATATTAATAACTTTGTTGCAATTATACTGAATCATCATCTAAAAATAATTATGTGTTTGGTCATATGCTCCTTTAACATCTCAAAATATTTGTTTTTAGGGTTTCAGCATTGTAATATTCATGTACTTAAAACAATTAACATGTTCTAAAGGACAAGATAGCTCAGTGATAACTATGTGTATGGAAATCTCCTGATTTTGAGTGATTACTATTTTCATCCTTGAATGAGAAAATAGGCTGTATGGCAGAGGTGAATATAGCCCTTCTATGAGAGATGGAAAATACCATACACTCCTTTTATGGCTAAACGAAGCAGTGATGGCAATGCACTATAATTACAATGTATGAAAATTTGGGACTTTGTACTATGCTATTTTTAACACGTTTGCTAGCATATGGTAATTCAGGGTCTTCATAATCTTTCATTGCTAATACCAGTGATAAGAGAATGGATTCTAAATTTGCCAAAGTCTTGTGACCAAGGCAGCATCAGGAGGATTCAAAAATGAAAATCTGGCAACCCCAGAAGTATCTTGACTTTCTACTTTAATCTCAGGGGGATTTTTTTAAAGCTCCGCCCCCACCCCATCTCACAGGCAGTCTGTCTCTGTCTTTCGCTCTCTCTGACCTCAAATCCAACCAGAACATTTCTCCACCCTGCAGAGAAATTCTCAGGCTCCCGTTGAGACCCGAACCACTGAGAAGTCAAGAAATTTCTTGTGTGGCAGAACTGGAGGCAAGAAGATTGGAGAATAAGCAGAAAAATCCTAATCCTTAGACTGTAACAAGAAGCAAGCGCTTACAAACGTTTCAGTAGATTTTTACCTCTTTAAAAACGGTGGTTTGTTGTTGTTGTTGCTGTTGTTGTTGTTTTAATGTCTCCTAACAAAATGGAGTAGCTGCAGCTACTGGGAGGCCAGAGAATGATTGTGCAGCTGAGTCCTCCTCCTAACAAATGCCAAGGATTTCCTCCCTCGTGGTTCGCTGCTGTTAAATGAAACAATTATCAACGCAAGAAGGCAGTTTGCTAATCAAGAGGGATAAGACTGCTGTTTCTTTAAAGTGCCGAGCAGGGAAGGGGGAAGAAAGGGTCGTGTGCGGTGTCTTTTTAACCTTGCTGAAGGACGCAGCAGTATTTATTGACGTATGCAAATAACTGGGGGAGGGTGGTGCTTGGGAAAAAACAGGAACCAGAATCAGTTTCTTATTGCAGGGTGAACGCTCTGAGTTCCGGTGAAGGGAAAAGAGACGTGGCGAAATTGCTGTCTTTCTATTTTATAAGCACATCTCTCACTAATACTGAAAAGGAACCAAGACATCAGAAAGGGTGAAGATGCTCTCACAGTATTTTTAGAGACCTTGCACGAGCCCCCCCCCCGCCCCCCATCCCCAGCCCGACCTGTTCTTCTAAATGGGAGATTATGGATTTGCATTGCAATTGGCTAGTAGCGGTGGCACTGGATTTTCGCAAGTAAAACACCCGCCCGCTTTAGCGAGGGGCATTAACGATCACATTGACAATAACGCATCTCTTTTTTCCCCGTTTCAGCTGCGCAAACCATGCAGGATGATTTACTGATGGACAAAAGCAAAACCCAGCCCCAGCCCCAGCAGCAGCGGCAGCAGCAGCAGCCCCAGCCCGAACCCAGCGCAGCCGAAGCCCCGTCCACGCCCCTCTCCTCAGAGACCCCCAAGCCGGAGGACAGCAGCGCAGTGCCGGCCCTCAGCCCCGCCGCGGCCCCGCCGGCCCCCAACGGCCCTGACAAGATGCAGATGGAATCGCCGCTCCTGCCGGGCTTGAGTTTCCACCAGCCCCCTCAGCAGCCGCCGCCGCCGCAGGAGCCCACGGCGCCGGGCGCGTCGCTGTCGCCGTCCTTCGGCAGCACCTGGTCCACGGGCACCACGAACGCTGTGGAGGACAGCTTCTTCCAGGGGATCACCCCAGTCAACGGGACCATGCTCTTCCAGAACTTCCCGCACCACGTCAACCCAGTCTTCGGAGGCACCTTCTCTCCGCAGATCGGCCTGGCGCAGACCCAGCACCACCAGCAGCCGCCGCCGCCGGCGCCGCAGCCCGCGCAGCCCGCGCAGCCCCCGCAGGGGCAGCCCCCGCAGCAGCGCCGCTCGCCGGCCAGCCCCAGCCAGGCGCCCTACGCTCAAAGGAGTGCAGCCGCGGCGTATGGCCACCAGCCCATCATGACCAGCAAGCCGTCCTCGTCCTCGGCTGCAGTAGCCGCTGCGGCCGCCGCCGCCGCTTCATCCGCCTCGTCCAGCTGGAACACGCACCAGAGTGTGAACGCCGCCTGGAGCGCGCCGTCCAACCCGTGGGGCGGCCTGCCGGCTGGCCGGGACCCTCGCCGGGCTGTCGGCGTGGGTGTGGGCGTGGGAGTCGGGGTGCCCTCGCCGCTCAACCCCATCTCGCCGCTCAAAAAGCCCTTCTCCAGCAATGTGATCGCGCCGCCCAAGTTTCCTCGGGCAGCCCCGCTCACCTCCAAGTCCTGGATGGAGGATAACGCTTTCCGGACGGATAATGGTAACAATCTGTTACCATTTCAGGTAATGCTCCAGTGCACCTGCACACACCTCCGTTTCTACTCCTCTCCCCTTACCCCCTCTTCCCTGCCATTTAGTCGTGATTTTTGTTCTTTAAAAAAAGGCAGCGATGTCCAGCTCCCTTGTCCCATTCCCAAGACTCCGTTTCGCCGGTGCTGTTCCAGTACCGGGGACAAGGGTGAGGGAACACTGTGACTGTGACTGAGGAATCATATTTAAGCATCCTGATAAGATAGGCCTTTTTCTTTTGGCATATTTTTTTCCTTCACCGTGTGTGTGCCTTTTATTTTGACCTTCTTTGACAAGGTGCAGTGTATGGCAAGGTACTGGCTTGGTCCCAGAATGAGTAGGCTGAGATTCCTGTCATTTTAAGTAGCTACACATTTCAAGTTATGCAATCCTGGGTCCTGAGTGCCTCCTGAAAGCTATCCACTCCCAAACTACCCTGGGCCTACTCTTAAAGAGGTTAACAGCCCTTGAGTGGTGCTATTTCAGACAGTTGCATATGCTCAATTAAACTAATGTGAGCACATGTGTTTATGTCTCGCTAAGGTGCTGGCATCATTAATAGCAATCAGCATATTGTCCCTGCCGGGAAGATTATGAGTGTGAGATTCCAATAAACTCATGAACTCCTTTAGGGACCAAGTTGGAAGAGTGGAAATTCTAGGGTAACCCTTCCTATGTTACCCAGAAGAAGGACTAGACATTGTTTTTTTCTAGAGCAAAGAGACAATAGGACGCGACCTTCAGAGCCATATTGCAATGGAGTCTATTTGCTAGCTAGCACTGAAATATTTAAAGCTGCAGTGTCCTTCAGATGGGTTATTTAAGAAGACAATACAGATCAATTACACCATTTGAAACTGGGCAAAGTGAAAGTCTTGCAACTTTAATGAAAAATGAGCCTTGTGTCTTGGTGTTAAATACCAGTGAAAAACCCAGGAAGTGCCCCAGACAAAAAGGTTGAATGGAGTGTCCTTAATTCTGTTCTTGTTTTCTGATCCAGGCCACGGCCACATCAGTTGGCAATGTCCTGAACATCTTAAGGTGGAAAGGGGTGGTGAGGGACTCCTGGGTGGTTGAGCATCTGCCTTTGGCCCAGGACGTGATCCTGGAGTCCTGGCATCGAGTCCCACATTGGGCTTCCTACATGGAGCCTGCTTCTCCCTCTCTGTCTGCCTCTGTGTCTTTCATGAATAAGTAAAATCTTTTAAAAAAGGGGGGTATGGAAAAAAAGGGGGGTATGATGAGGGTGAGTGTTCACTGGGGGCTTTTGTTCTAGGCAAACATTTATTCTTCACTTAACAAATTGATTTGGCTATAACCTAGGCTCAGTTAAAAAAGAAAAGAATAAAGGAAGGAGAGAAGAGGGCTTTGAATAAGACCCAGTTGGGGTCGTCAAGGAAATGAAACAAATTGAGCATTGCTGAAACATGGCAGAACCGAAATTTGACAGAAGTAGTTTAGAGCATCAGGTGCAATTGGAATCTTCATTTTGTTGTTCTTACATTTTAAGATGTGATGTTTGAGATGACTCCCATCCATGAAGAAGGTGATAGGGTTATTGAGAAGCACATGATTCCCTAGGCTACCGCAAGGATTTTTAACCTTGACAGTTCAAGGGAGCCCGTGAAACTTGTAAATTGTGTGTAATGAGAGTTTTTCATGAGAGAGGATCTTAACAAATTTTCGCAGGCATCCTTTAGGAATGGAAGAATTTAATATTAAAGTGTATTTCTTTCCATTCTAAAGTTTGTTTTGATAAAATGAAGAGAAGCTGCAAGATGGGATTAGTTTGGTAGAGAAAAGGAGGAATCTGCTTTCTGGAATTTCTCTCTGTGCTTATTTTTGTGGTGAGGGGATAGAACCGTGAGGCTGCATTTGGTAGGAAAACCATTCTTTTCAAACAGTTCTTTTTATACTAATGCTCCCTATCCAAGTTCAGTCTTAGAAGATAACCTAAAATCTGAGAGGAAGTTTTAGGGGTGAGAGCTTATAGTGTAGACATTAGTTATGTTTTTCTAGGCCCTGAATCTGAATACGACTAGCTTTTGATTAATTGTCTCTGGAAGGGAGGGCTGGGGAGAGATTATAAAATTTCCCCCAAACTGATATCGACAAGTAGTATGTGGTTTGCCAGTGGTTTCTTAGCAAACCATTTACCAGCAATGCTCATGGAAGCTGGACAGACTGATTTGAAGTCAGCTTATTTTCATCCCTGATGGTGCTATTGAGTAGGTAAAGATGGCCAAAAGACTTGAGATTTTATTAAAAATTGAGCTGTATATACTTGGTCTCAGGAAAAATTACCTGGACTTTATGTCTCACTTCTTTGTCTTACTAAAATGGAACTTTGGGGTTTTGAAACAATCTTAGAACCAGATTAGAACACACAACCTGGTTGTGTTTTAGTTTTGGGTTGGAATATTATGACTTTGTGGTTATTTTTTTTTTAAGATTTTATTTATTCATGAAAGACCCAGAGAGAGAGGCAGAAAAATAGGCAGAGGGAGAAGCAGGCTCCCCATGAGAAGCCTGTTGTGGGACTTGATCCCAGGACCCCGGGATCATGACCTGAGCCAAATGCAGATTGCTCAGTCACTGAGCCACCCAGGTGCCCCAAGAGTTTGTGTTAAATATATCACATATGTTTAAAAAGCAAAAACTAAACACTTTGAGTCTTGTGCATAGAATTTTACATGTTTGTGCATTTATTTAAATCATTTTTCTATGAAAGGGGGAAAATATCTTAAGTAGTCCGAGAGATTCATTTTACAGACTCTGAGCTAAAAGGGGCTTGCAACAGTAATCTACTCTAATATGCCTTAATATATATTTTTATTTATTTTAAAGATTTAATTTATTTATTCATGAGGGACAGAGGCAGAGACAGAAGGAGGCTCCCTGTGGGGACCCTGGGATCATGCCCTGAGCCAAAGGCAGACTCAACCACTGAGCCACCCAGGCATCCCTCTTAATATGTATTTTTAAAATCCATATCCTGTCAGTGATGCTTCACTTTCTTTTGCCAACCAACACAATAGATTTTTTTTTTTTGGAGCTTTACTTCTATAGTTTATATTGTAAAAGCAATGACTGTATTTGAATGTGGTTTTCCAAACTATACATTTCCTTACCCCCTTCCCTCAATTCTAACAAAGTTGATTGGTTTCCCTGAGTTGGGGTTCCTGCTTCCTTCAGGCTTACTTGTATCGAAACACTACTTTATAGATATCTGTAAATAAGGAAACCAAGGTCCTAAGAAGTAGGATGACATAGTTCCAGTCCTAGAGGTTTGGCTAATTTTGTTGATGTGTATCCTTAACCTCTCTGTAGCACTAGTGGTGTCAGGTAAAATTCATTTTAAGTCAGGTTCTCTTTGGGCTCCATTCAAAGGGACTTAGTTTTGGAATTATCTAGTGAGGTTTTCTGTCTGGCTGATGCCTCTTGGTGATGTACCTCCTGGTGATGTACCTCCTGCTAATGGGCTTAGGAACAATGAGACACTCCACTGGGGGAATTATAAATATGCATCCTTTTATATTTATATAAGCAGAGAAGCCTAGGTATATAAAAGGACCAAAGCAGAGATGTTTTCTATATGTAGTGGATTTGGATTTAAATAGCATTTTTGTCCAGAGGAGTTTAGAAGGGACTTTTAAGAATACCTGTTCCACCACTCTGTGTTCATTTGCCGAAGGAGAAAATTGAAATCCCAATATGCGAAATTCCTTGCCCAAGTTTGAGTAGGTATTTTCTGTCAGAAGCAGGCTTTGGAGGCAGATTGTCTAGGTTCAGATCTTAACTCTGCCAGCTACTTGCTTTATAATCTTGAGCAAATTATGTCTACATGTTGACCTTCATCTATAAGATGGGAATAATAATTCCTTGCTTCATATGAGTTCAGGTGAGAAACTGCATATTAACACAGTGCTTGGCCCATAGTAGAGTACCACATAAATGTTGGGCTATGATTATCATTGTTGTAATAGTGACCAGAGGTTCTGGATGATTTTATAGTAGGTATTACTGATTTTTTCATACAGTTCAGTCTGAATAAGTGTTAAACTTCTATATAATGTCTTTTGGTCTTTTTTTTCTGTCTTAAGGTACCCTTTGGTTACTGTAACAAAAGGTGATTTGCCATTAACTTATGGGCCAGGCCTTGTGCTAAATACTTTAGGTATAGTTCCTCATTGAAACTCCTTTGAGGTTCAGATCTATTATAACCCTCGTTATGCTGACAGAGAAATTGAGTGTTAATATATTTACTTTATCTGCTCATGATCACACAGCCAGTAATTGACAGAGTTGGGATTTGAACCCAGGTAGTCTGTGTCCAGAGCCAATCTCCACTATAATACCTTGAGTATAATAACTCTAGAACATCAGTTAACAGTGTTGTGTAGAAGCAGGAGACTGGGATGAATCTGTACTTGACCTTATGATATACCCTGGAAATACTGCTTTTAAAAAATTTGTATTGATGGAAATGGAGGAAGAAAAATATAGTGCCCATACATTTCCTACCACTTATTTGCAACAGTAGTCAATATATCCCCCTATTTACTTATTTACTTAATTTATGTATTTTTGAATATTGTATTTTTGAAAAAAATTCAAATTAGGTTTGCTTTCTTTCTGCATCTCTGACTTTATCTCTCCTCTTCCCTTACTCCAAATTGAAAGTAATTATACAGATTTTATATTTTCTGGCATGTCTAATTAATTGTAATTTAGTGTTAATTTTGCTAGTGGGTTATTTATAATAGAGGAACAAATTCCTTACTTGAATTAATGGGAATATAGACGATGATGATGATGATTATTATTATTTTGAAGAGAGAGAGAGTGTGGGGAAAGGAGGAAGAAGGAAGGAAAGAGGGGGAGAGAGAATCTTTAAGCAGGGCTTTATGTTCATCCCAGAGCCCAACTTGGGGAGATCTCAGGACCTAGAGATCATGACCTGAGTTAAAGTCAAGAGTTGGATATTTAACCCA